GGGAGAGAGATGGAGAGAGAGAGAGGGACAGAGATGGAGAGAGATGGGAGAGAGATGGAGAGAGTTGGAGAGAGACAGACAGGGAGACAGAGAGAGAGGGACAGAGATGGAGAGAGATGGAGAGAGATGGGGAGAGACAGACAGGGAGACAGAGAGAGAGAGAGAGAGAGAGGAACAGAGATGGAGAGAGACGGAGAGAGAGATTGAGAGAGATTCTGCAGAAACATACTTCCACATAGATTCTACTTCAGGTCCTTCCACTCAGTGCAGCAGGGTTCTGGACTCTCTCCTTGTTGACACCCTTTACAGTAAAGTTATTCCTGAAAACGTCTCTTTTGTTGCTGAGTTTTTCTGTATTATTATATTTGACTCTGTTCTCTCTACACTTCTCTGATGTTCTTCTCATTTATTGTGAGATTTTCTTTTGTACATTTTTATAAACCAAGCAAACTTCAGTGTCGACTCACGCCTAAAATATTCATTTAAAATCAGCTGATGTTCTTTATATCCAGAAAAGAAATTTTCATTAACAACATGTTCTTCAGTCAGAGCTGCAGACAAGAAACAGTTCATCATCAGATCTCTGACATGCCAGTCCCTGTGCTAAGCTAGGCTAACAGTTTCCAATATTTCCAGTCCCTGTGCTAAGCTAGGCTAATAGTTTCCAATATTTCCAGTCCCTGTGCTAAGCTAGGCTAACAGTTTCCAATATTTCCAGTCCCTGTGCTAAGCTAAGCTAACAGTTTCCACAACAGGGGGACTAACAGTTTCAAATAAACCAGTCCCTGTGCTAAGCTAGGCTAACAGTTTCCAATATTTCCAGTCCCTATGCTAAGCTAAGCTAACAGTTTCCAATATTTCCAGTCCCTGTGGTAAGCTAGGCTAACAGTTTCCAATATTTCCAGTCCCTGTGCTAAGCTAAGCTAACAGTTTCCAATATTTCCAGTCCCTGTGCTAAGCTAGGCTAACAGTTTCCAATATTTCCAGTCCCTGTGGTAAGCTAGGCTAACAGTTTCCAATATTTCCAGTCCCTGTGCTAAGCTAAGCTAACAGTTTCCAATATTTCCAGTCCCTGTGCTAAGCTAAGCTAACAGTTTCCAATATTTCCAGTCCCTGTGCTAAGCTAGGCTAACAGGTGCTGGGTCTGCGGGACAAACAGCTGATGGAGGATCCTCCAACACTCCCAGTCTGAGCTGGTCTCCAGCTGCTGGTCTAAACTGGGACACACACCTCCTCTCACTGTGGCCCTTCCCATCTCCTCCCCCTCCCTTCCCCGTCTCTCCACACAGACGGCCAACAGCCGGACGGATCGGAGGTGAGTTTGTTTCTTCTCTTTAGGTCTCTGTTGATCACAGATAACGTGTTGGTAACGTGTTGGTAACGTGTTGGTAACACTTTGGTAACGTGTTGGTAACGTGTTGGTAACGTGTGGTAACGTGTTGGTAACACTTTGGTAACGTGTTGGTAACGTGTTGGTAACTCTGTTGCTGCACTGATGACACTGGTGAGGAGAGAGAGAGTGGTAGAGAGCTAATGGAAGAGACGGACAGACACTCAGCGAGGAGACAAACACATGACATCAAGACAAGTCCGGTCCGAGACTGGTCTGAGTCTGGTCTGAGTCTGGTCTGAGTCTGGTCTGAGTCCGAGTGTGGTCCAAGTCCGGTCTGAGTCTGATCCCAGTCTGGTCCGAATCTGGTCTAAGTCCTGTCTGAGTCTGGTCTCAGTCCGTTTTGAGTCTGGTACAAGTCTGGTCCCAGTCCGGTCCGAGTCTGGTCTAAGTCCTGTCTGAGTCTTGTCCCAGTCCTGTCTGAGTCTGATCCCAGTCTGGTCCGAGACTGGTCCCAGTCCGGTCCCAGTCCAGTCTGAGTCCGGTCTGAGTCTGGTCTGAGTCTGGTCTGAGTACAGTCTGTCAGGTCCCAGTCGGGTCCGAGTCAGATCCATGTCAGGTCCCAGTCTGGTCCCAGTCGGGTCCGTGACTTCAGACAGAAACAGTCAGATGCTCTTTATTTTGAACGTGTCACATGACGAGCTCGGAGCGAGAACGTGTCGCTGAGCAGATTCTCCACCGTCTGGAGGGCCTCGGGTCGAGGCGGTGCAGCTGCCGGTCAGGACAGTATCAGCGGTGCACCTGTACAAGGTGCTGAGGATCCTGGGGTCCACACTGGGCCTCCTCAGTCTGCGGAGCCTGATGACTGATGAGTCTTTAAAAGTCTCTAACCTTCCATGCGGGACGTCCACAACAGAGAACAGATATTTGAAAGCCATTTTGACCTATTTAAGTCATGGTTCCACATCCCAACCATGGACTTTGTCGGACCCCCAAAGCGTCATCTATAATTCCAAGCACGAGGGCCACTGGCTCCTGTAGAACGGTTCTTGAGGGTCTCAGGATACCCGAAAACCCACTACCTAACGCCCCCTAACGCCTTAGTTCAGAGTCAACCGGCCTCAGGGGACGGGACCACAGCCGTGGCTTCCAGCAGGCCTGCATGGGGCTGAGGGCCGGGGCCACACGGCACATTCTGAATGTCTTCCTCTTAAATGATCACTTGGATAGCTTCATCTGTATCCACACACCTTGCTTTCAGTTAATGTTTTTTACCTGTAGAGTTGAATCAGTTTTTATGCTGTTGATGCGGGTGTGATGGTGCAGTGGATAAGACACCTGCCTTTGATGTGAGAGACCCAGGTTTGATCCCCCACTGTGACCCATCCACCAATGTGTCCCTGAGCAAGACACTTAACCCCTCTTTGGATAAAAGCGTCCGCTAAATGAATAAATGTAAATGATGCAATTTCAAAAATATAATACATTGAAAAAAGTTATGTGCAGTAAAAAGTAACTCAGAGAAATACAGGCAGAAAGTTCCTGAGAACAGGACGTTATGTTTTGACGTAGTAGAGTGATGTTGGACGACCTACACGGATATTTATACGGTGTCTTAAATACTTAAATCAGCTGTTCGGCTGCAGGGGAACCGTCACACCGGTTCCTTTTTCCAGCGGTAGTTCTGAGCAGAACTGCTTCCTTTCTGTTTCATGCAGCGCCAACATTTCACTGCTGTCTTCTTTGTTTGGTCCTAACCTCCCGGACCTCTCCGGGTTGACAGGTCTATGGACTCTATGACGTCAGCATCTCCAGCGTGTAGAATGAGGAGGATTTGTGGAAACCACTTTAATGTGCAGGCTGGATCCGACCAAGGTCTAGTCTGGAGCAGCATCTGGTTTAAATCTGGTCCGGATCTGTTATTGAGAGCAGGTTATTGGAACAGCCAGAGAAACCACTTTGAGCAGCAGCTCCAGACTGGATCTGGATCCTGGAACTAGAACAGATTTAGTTCTGGACCAGAAAGGGCAGTAAACATTTTAATCACACTAAAACTGGAGTTAAAGGAGTCCAAACCTGGAGGTGAACCAGCAGAAGTCCAGGAGGTTTTCAGAGGATTCAACGTCTCGCTCTGCAGGTCAGATTACCGTCTGAGGACCTGGGTGAAAACACTTATCTGTGATGCTCTGATTGGCCGACATATCCATTTCCTCCTAATGGACACACAGCTGCTAGCGTTAGCCTGCGCACCCCACTCTGTCCTCCCCTGGGAACCAAGACCATTAGACCGAGGCCCCCCCCCAACACACACACAGCCTGGTCGATACACTGGGAGAGGCCGGCTTCCTTTCACACACAGGCGTTATCAATATTTAATCTCAGCTCAGCTTCGTCCCTCCAACAACCACAAGATCTGAATACGCTCCGACACAGAGTAACAACCACCAGTTTCACACCTTCATTTAACGCTTTCAGAGTTGGACGTTTCACAGGAAGTGATGATGTTTAAGTTTTCCTTCAGTCTCAGTGTTTCCTGCAGCTGATACGTCAGACTGCTCAGTGGACACCAGCATCTGCAGGTTCAACCTTCAAAGCAAAGTAAATTAAATCAATTTAGAACTACGCTAAAGAGAAAGTTCACCTTAAAGTAACGCTGAACAGTATAAACGTTTGTTAAACTAAAATCAGCAGTAACCTTAGTGATACAGTTACTAAACTAATATCAAAGAAAAGGTTATTAAAATTAAAACTTATTAAACTAAACTCAACAGTAACCTTAGTGATACAGTTACTAAACTAATATCAAAGAAAAAGTTATTAAAATTAAAACTTATTATACTAAACTCAACAGTAACCTTAGTGATACAGTTACTAAACTAATATCAAAGAAAAGGTTATTAAAATTAAAACTTATTAAACTAAACTCAGCAGTAACTTTAGTGATACAGTTACTAAACTAGTATCAAAGGAATGTTTATTCAAATTAAAACTTATTAAACTAAACTCAGCAGTAACCTTAGTGATACAGTTACTAAACTAATATCAAAGGAATGTTTATTAAAATTAAAACTTATTAAACTAAACTCAGCAGTAACCTTAGTGATACATAACTAATATAAAAGGAATGTTTATTCAAATTAAAACTTATTAAACTAAACTCAACAGTAACCTTAGTGATACATAACTAATATCAAAGAAAAGGTTATTAAAATTAAAACTTATTAAACTAAACTCAACAGTAACCTTAGTGATACAGTTACTAAACTAATATCAAAGGAATGTTTATTCAAATTAAAACTTATTAAAGTAAACTCGACAGTAACCTTAGTGATACAGTTACTAAACTAATATCAAATAAAAGGTTATTCAAATTAAAACTTATTAAACTAAACTCAACAGTAACCTTAGTGATACAGTTACTAAACTAATATCAAAGAAAAGGTTATTAAAATTAAAACTTATTAAACTAAACTCAACAGTAACCTTAGTGATACAGTTACTAAACTAATATCAAATAAAAGGTTATTAAAATTAAAACTTATTAAACTAAACTCAACAGTAACCTTAGTGATACAGTTACTAAACTAATATCAAAGGAATGTTTATTCAAATTAAAACTTATTAAACTAAACTTAGCAGCAGCCTTAGTGATACAGGTACTAAACTAATATCAAAGGAATGTTTATTCAAATTAAAACTTATTAAACTAAACTCAGCAGTAACCTTAGTGATACAGTTACTAAACTAATATCAAAGAAAAGGTTATTAAAATTAAAACTCATTAAACTAAACTCAACAGTAACCTTAGTGATACATAACTAATATAAAGGAATGTTTATTCAAATTAAAACATGTTAAACTAAACTCAGCAGTAACCTTAGTGATACAGTTACTAAACTAATATCAAAGGAAAGTTTATTCAAATTAAAACATGTTAAACTAAACTCAGCAGTAACCTTAGTGATACAGTTACTAAACTAATATCAAAGGAATGTTTATTCAAATTAAAACTTATTAAACTAAACTCAGCAGTAACTTAGTGATACAGTTACTAAACTAATATCAAAGGAATGTTGATTCAAATAAAACTTATTAAACTAAACTCAGCAGTAACCTTAGTGATACATAACTAATATCAAAGGAATGTTTATTCAAATTAAAACATGTTAAACTAAACTCAGCAGTAACCTTAGTGATACAGTTACTAAACTAATATCAAAGGAATGTTTATTCAAATTAAAACTTATTAAACTAAACTCAACAGTAACCTTAGTGATACAGTTACTAAACTAATATCAAAGGAAAGTTTATTAAAATTAAAACTTATTAAACTAAACTCAACAGTAACCTTAGTGTACAGTTACTAAACTAATATCAAAGAAAAGTTTATTCAAATTAAAACATGTTAAACTAAACTCAGCAGTAACCTTAGTGATACAGTTACTAAACTATATCAAAGGAATGTTTATTCAAATTAAAACTTATTAAACTAAACTCAACAGTAACCTTAGTGATACAGTTACTAAACTAATATCAAAGAAAGGTTATTAAAATTAAAACTTATTAAACTAAACACAACATAACCTTAGTGATACAGTTACTAAACTAATATCAAAGGAATGTTTATTCAAATTAAAACTTATTAAACTAAACTCAACAGTAACCTTAGTGATACAGTTACTAAACTAATATCAAAGGAAAGTTATTAAAATTAAAACTTATTAAACTAAACTCAACAGTAACCTTAGTGTTACAGTTACTAAACTAATATCAAAGAAAAGTTTATTCAAATTAAAACATTTAAACTAAACTCAGCAGTAACCTTAGTGATACAGTTACTAAACTATATCAAAGGAATGTTTATTCAAATTAAAACTTATTAAACTAAACTCAACAGTAACCTTAGTGATACAGTTACTAAACTAATATCAAAGAAATGTTTATTCAAATTAAAACTTATTAAACTAAACTCAACAGTAACCTTAGTGATACAGTTACTAAACTAATATCAAAGAAAAGGTTATTAAAATTAAAACTTATTAAACTAAACACAACATAACCTTAGTGATACAGTTACTAAACTAATATCAAAGGAATGTTATTCAAATTAAAACTTTTAAACTAAACTCAGCAGTAACTTTAGTGATACAGTTACTAAACTAATATCAAAGGAATGTTGATTCAAATTAAAACTTATTAAACTAAACTCAGCAGTAACCTTAGTGATACAGTTACTAAACTAATATCAAATAAAAGGTTATTAAAATTAAAACTTATTAAACTAAACTCACAGTAACCTTAGTGATACATAACTAATATCAAAGGAATGTTTATTCAAATTAAAACTTATTAAACTAAACTCAACAGTAACCTTAGTGATACAGTTACTAAACTAATATCAAAGGAAAGTTTATTAAAATTAAAACTTATTAAACTAAACTCAACAGTAACCTTAGTGTACAGTTACTAAACTAATATCAAAGAAAGTTTATTCAAATTAAAACATGTTAAACTAAACTCAACAGTAACCTTAGTGATACAGTTACTAAACTAATATCAAAGGAAAGTTTATTCAAATTAAAACTTATTAAACTAAACTCAACAGTAACCTTAGTGATACAGTTACTAAACTATATCAAAGGAATGTTTATTCAAATTAAAACATGTTAAACTAAACTCAGCAGTAACTTTAGTGATACAGTTACTAAACTAATATCAAAGGAATGTTTATTCAAATTAAAACTTATTAAACTAAACTCAGCAGTAACCTTAGTGAT